ATGGATGGATGGATGGATGGATGGATGGATGGATGGATGGATGGATGGATGGATGGATGGATGGATGGATGGATGGATGGATGGATGGATGGATGAGGAACATAAAATGCCTTTCTGAGCCAGCTTGTATATGTAGGTGGAGCTGCTGCAGAGTCCCAGTTTAGCCTCCTGGCCATCAGAGCTGTTAAGGCTGTTAGGTTCTCTTTAGCAGGAGAGAGCGCATTTGAGGTGGGCCAGCTCCCCACCCCCACCCACCCCCCACTAATAAGACAAAATAAGGCATTAGCAGTGAAATCCTCTCCACCTTCATCCGATAAAGATTTCAGACCAGAACCTCTTAATGGAGGGACAAAACATGGAATCTGTGAGCAGATATTTTTTTTGTTCTTGCGTAAATGTAAATATGCCTCAACATATTTTTGCTAACACTGCTCTGTTAATGAGCGTGTCGATGTCCACTCTGTGTCTGCAGGTGTCTAACTTGACAAGTGGACGTTTCTACCAGTTTCGTGTCTTCGCTGCCAACATGGCCGGTGTTGGGAAGCCCTCGGATGCCAGTGAACCTTTTCTGTGTGACAAATGGACAATGCCAGAACCAGGTAATGGTGAATTCCCCCATATTTTACATATCGTACTTTTCGCCTTATAAGTTGCTTTTTTTGTTGATGCAATAAATTAGCATGCCCTGTGGCTTGTACGGCAAAGTGACTTATTTATATTTTTTCCATATTTAAAACCCAATTTTTGGCTGAGATCTCACGATTTTATTAATTCGGACGTGGAAAATATTGAACACTACCATTTTCAGCCACTAGAGGGCCCTCGAGTAATATGGCAAGACACATATCTCATTAATAGATAAAATTGGCTATTAATGATACATTTGGCTTGCCATACACCCACCTTCGTCTCGCTCTGGAACTCCTGGAGCAAACTTCGAATCAGCTGCATTTCGCCTGGTTGGTGCGGCAAAATGCAGCTGATTTGACCATTAAAGTACATTTATTAATGAAAAGTTAAACTGAGACAGGTCCTTGCTATAATTTCGAGCAAACAAATAATTGAGCTTTTAAGAGTTAATCTTGGTAAATTCTTCTTAAAATACTCCCGTGAACGCTCCCGTGGCAGCCAATTGATATTTGGCACAACACCGGCCTACATTTCCACGTGGTCAGCGGTGATGCATAATAGATGCGACTTATACGGTGAAGCGACTTATTTATGTTTTGTCCACTTTATTAGACATATTTGGACTGATGCAACTTATACAGCGGTGCGACATGTATGGCACAAAGTACGGTAATATTAAATCATTATCAAATGCGTTTAATAAAACTTATCCGAATGTCATTTAAAATCAATCTATGCCACGTTTTAGGAAAACAATCCGCTCTGCTGTGAAGCTATAACTATAATTCTGTAAATTAAAGCCCTTAAAACCAATTTATTCACAATTTACTGTTTATTTCCTGTTTCCACATGCTGTAAGCTGCAGCACAGCCGTTTACTAAAACAATTTATTCCAATTTAAAACTATTTACACTAAAAACGATAAGAAACGTCCTGTTTTCATCACCCAGATGTACTCACATCCATCATTCTGTGCCAAAACATTCAAAAATACAAAAGTGATCACAACAGCAGCAGCACATTTGTAAGTAGCAGAGGAGTTTAACTCTAATCAGTCATTTCCAGGTGATGCATTTACTTGGGGAGCTTTGGGAGTTTCAGATTCCGTCAATACCTTCCTGGCTGCAATTTCTACGATCTGTTTATCGACCCCGGCTGCAGCGACGGAGGTGAGATAGAAATAAACACCATCCATCAACCGGAGGGCCCGTTTCCACCCGCTGCCATTTTACTTTTGTTTAAGCTGCACCGTTAAACGCGCTTGTAGTCATTTCACAGCAAAACAAACAGGCCAGCATGGAGCTTCAGCTTAATAATAAGCTATTTGCTTACTGTGCCATTAAAGTGTGCAGTAATGGCTGAGGTCAGCAGTTAAGTGAATAATAAAGAAGCTGAATTGAACTCTAAAATCACAGCCTTAAGTTAGAATTAGCTTGCGGCATTTATTATGGGTGGTTTATGTATGATTTGTGCTTTAATAACACGGCTGCTGCCGGGAGAATTATAGAGAAAAACAATTTTACAGGAATGGAGGTTTAATTTCCTGCTTTGGAAATATTATTTCTATATAATCACTGAAACCATCCAGAACGTAAGCATGAGACTGGAAGTTAAATGTCAACCTGGTGATTTGTATTAAAGCAGAAACTTTGACGTGATGGAAACAGTTTTGATATTTTTGTCCAGAGCCACCGTAGGATAAAAATTAAAGTAGGGCTTTTTTTTCACCCACAAAGGAAACAGAAACACAGGAACTCATTTTTGCTCTTAGTGGAAACATCCAGCACTGCATGAAATTTGTTTGTTTATATATGCACACACACACACATATATATATATATATATATATATATATATA